CCATCAAGAGTGCACCAAGGTTCAGCCACCAGTCGGGGGTGGAAGCTTGTGGGCTCCTCTCTCAGCGTCACCCGTGTGTTTGGGACAGGACGTCATCTCTCACTGTTCTCGTCAAACACCCCTTTCCAGCCCCCCTCCCTGGCGAAGCTCACTTTCAAGCATGCTGGGACCTGACAAAGGTTGTCTCATCATGAGGAGGTAACTCTAGGATTTCTTAATCACCAGTAGTGGAGAAATACAGATAAGCATGTGGACTGATGGCCAAGAGTCATGTTAGATCGCTCAACATGGAAAAATACAGTGGCAGACTGGTGTTTTACTTCACTGAAATAGGTCTTTAAAGTTCTATTTAATATTATAGTCGTTATATTTTAATAATATCAAAATAATGTTCATTATTTATTATAACTATTTAAATCTGAATTCATTTATATAGACATAAATCAATACATAAATTAAAAACTTGTTTGAAAAGTTTGAAAAACTGTCTTACCCCAACATTTCCTTCTTATATATAATATATATGTATATATCGAATATTTTTTTTTAAAAAATATAAGGAAATATAATATAAAATATAAATATAATAATATAAGGAAATGTTGGGGTAAGACCACCTTTTCAAACATTCAAAAATAAAGTTTTTAATGTTTATAATTCATTCATAATGTTCTTATTATCTTGAAATGAAAATATGAATGGTTTTTCAAAAAAACTGAAAAATAAAAATGTAATTTTTATAAAATTATGGGTCAATTAATCCATCATTAAAATGGCACTATTCAAACATAAATCTTTGCATATATATATATATATATATATATATTTATAAATAATATCACAATATTACAAATATAATTAGTTTTCCAGTATGTACAGTCCTAAATCCATACAGCAAACACGTATTACTTTTTATGTTTCAAAACAAACTTTCCTCCCCCTTTCAAAAAAGAACAACAGCGAAGACTGTAGGAGGGGCTAAGGGCGTGTTTGGGGTGGGGTGAGGAGGCGTAACCGGAGCTCTTCAACAAGAGCAATGCGAGCTCATTTCTGGTCTCTAATGAGTGCGGCAGGGCGGCCGGCATGATGATCAGAGTCAGATGGGGTGCCCCGAGCAGCCGCCCCCTGCCGAAAGTGCCGCCTGACACCCTTTGTTACCTCCAAGTGAGCTGAGACCAGCCCATGAACCATGTAACTAGGTGGTTTCCAGGTTAATGAAAAGCTGTAACTCCAGTCTCACTGTCTCCTTAGAAGTCTAACTAACCCCCCAATCCCCCTACTTTCACCCTAGCAAGCCCCCTTTGAAAAAAACGTCAACATTCCAACCAAGAAATGAGCACCGTTGAACGCAAATGAATATAAGTGGCACATAGACCTGTCCTCTTCTAAGAGACATTTATTCGTGAAGGACTGTTCACATCTGAATATATACGGCGGAGACTTATGACGGTCAGAGGAGGAGAGATCCAGAATTTTGCTTTCAGCTGGAAGTGCTTGATCTATAAACACGTATGAAGAATGGTAGTAAGAGTTTAAAGTAAACATTGATTTAACTTTACAAACAATCATGGCCTTGAAATAAATCCTCTTAATGTTCTCCTGATCTGCTTCCAGATGTTTGTTTGTGAGTTTGTGTGTGTGTGTCTGAGATCGACGGCCCCCTCAGTCGTCTAATTCCTGTCTCCGCCTCTACATGGCTCCAGTACCCTCATTTGCACAGGGTAAATATGTATTCCCAAGTATACATTTTTGTCAGGTTCCACTCAGAAAAAAAGCCTTTGATTCCACTAAGGCGGCTTGTTGAAAAAGAGAGAGGAAAAAAAAAAAACCTGTTCTCTCCAGTTGGCATCTAATTTAGAGCAGCGGACATTAAAGGGGCAGCCAGTCACTAATAGGAGCCATTCCTGCAGCTAGCGTCAGAGAGGAGGTGTGCTGGGCATTTGTGCTTTAGCAACTCTCTGAGACCTATGCTAATAGATTTCAGCTCTACTAACCCTTCATTCTCCCAATTAGCCTGCTTTAGTGTGACTGAAAGTCCAAGAGAGAGAAAGAAAGAGAGAGAGAGAGAGAGAGAGAGAGAAAGAAAGAAAGAGGGAGGGAGGGAGGGAGAAAGTAGTACACAAGTAATACAACAACTAGTCAGTAGTGTTGGCCTGTACAAAACACACAACCTCTACAAAGCTTTATTTCAAAGTTCAAAAACAATAAAAAAAAATAAAGCTTTGAAGTTCTATAGTTTGTAGATTTGTAGATGGATAGACATGCAGATCAACAAAATGGTAGAATGATAGAATGACAGAAAGAGAATGACAGATAGAATAAGAGAATCACAGATTGACAATTGGTAGAATGAAAGACATACAGAACGGATAGATATGGTCAAATGACAGACGGATGGATGGATGGATGGATGGACGGACGGACGGACGGACATATAGATAGTAGATAGATAGATAGATAGATAGATAGATAGACAGACAGACAGACAGACAGACAGATGGACGGACAGACGGACATATAGATAGATAGATAGATAGATAGATAGATAGATAGATAGATAGATAGATAGATAGATAGATAGATAGATAGATAGATAGATAGATAGATAGATAGATAGATAGATAGATAGATAGATAGATAGATAGATAGATAGATAGATAGATAGATAGATAGATAGATGGAAATTGAGCACATATATGATTGGACGATTCTCTCAATCTGAGCCTATGAAAAACCAGGGCACATATGCGAGCCACACACACATACGTTAAGCGGTTGACTGTTTGCACTCACACTAACAAAAAAAACCCCCACAGAAAACAAATAAATAAAACTTGCACTCTTTACACAGGGCTTTTATCACTTCTTGAGGAAGAGCATTACAAAGAAAATAGAGAGTGCACTTTTAACCCTGACCCTGTGTGAGGAGAGAGCGGCCTAAATGTGGCCTTACCTGTAATAAACCTTCTACTAGGAGCGCTAGATCTTAAATCACTCTACAGGACTCTAGAGTATCGAATGTCGCTTCTTACAAGTGTACATACAGACACACAGCCGCAAACAAACACATGCAAATAGACACAAAGAAACACAAACAAGCCACCTTGAAACACTTCCCTCTTTCAAGTACAAATATCTAATTATCATCTCAAAAAGTTTATTTACCAGAAAACGGTAGCGGAAAATGTGAAACTTCATAGCGTATGTGTGAGGGGTGTTAGTCACAGAGCCAGAGGTCTTGGCAGGGCACCCAGAAGCTGTAAAGGTTTAGTACCGGCCCACAACCTGTTTACTCCATACTGAGCGACTCCAGTGTGAGGGAGGGCCCTGATTCATTTGCTCTTTTCCTCTCTTCAACATTCCTCCTTTTCTTGCATGACTGAGTGAAAGAGGTACTGCCACCCAAAACATTCAGAATTGATTGGTTTTAGGAATCAATTTAAATGATTTAATGATTTTAGTTCCAGGTAATGATTCCATTAACGTTTCGTTTAATAATTAAGAAATAATGGTTTTTTTTGGGGGGGGGGGGGGGGAATGCAATTAAATTCCCCAAAAATGTAATTTAAATAACAAATAAATTAAAACCAATTCTAATATATATATATGTTTTTTAAAATATATTATTTTTACATTATTATTATTAGTGCATAAATACAATCCAATAACTGGCCATAAACTAAATATTAAACAGCAATAATAAAATAAAGAAAAACTTTCCTTAGTTTATTTTCATAAAATACTCTAATCAAACGCATAATGTTGTTGTGACATGAACGTCCAGTAAGGAACCCCAAATTTAACATTCAGTTATTTGATTCAATAAAAAGAACCAGCTCATTAGAGTCATTAGTTCATGATTCAGACTGAACTGAACTGATGCTGTAAGGTTTATGATTCACTTTACAGGACCGACTCAATACAGTCATTCGTTCGGGAATCAGACTACACATGTAAATTCAAAAGAGCTGTTGCAGTGTCACTGAAAAAGTGTTTAACCCTGTAAAGCCTGACATATTAAATCTATGTATATATTTTTAAAATATATCCATAGATTTCATAAGTCAGGCTTTACTCATATAATTGTATTATATTTTATATGAAATAGTGAGAATAGTGTGCTCACACTGCATGGAGGAGGGGGCACAAATCTTTGCCAGAGCCAAACAGAGCAAATTCAGTACAGTTGACATATACTACTTACATATTGTAACATACATCTCAGTCAGATGATTTTTAAATGCTTATTTAAATGATCAGAGCTCTGTGGTTTTAATTGTGGAGGGCATATTATGCACTGCAACGATGATTGAGAGAAAAATGTTCTTGTAATTCTATTAGAAACTTAGATTTTAACATGATGTTTCTATAAAAACTATGTGTGGATAATCAAGTAAACCCAAGTTGTCAAAGGCCAGTAAATGTTAAATTTGAAACAATATAAAAGTTATACTTATGTTTACTTTATGAAAATCATTAAAGATTTGTACAGCAAAACTATATACCTGATTTTTAGAACTATGCCAAAAGATTCATTACTTTTCTAACAAATTATGAACGAGGTTCAAAAGTTTTGATCATGTTGATAATTTAGAGGCCGTAGACATTCCTGTATAAATTATTAGGCTTCTTAAGGTTAAGAAAACTGTCATAACATGTAGTAGAAAGAACGTGCAAGAGCCGTTAATGGAAACGATCACCATTTAGTGCCGTTTTGTTAGTGCAACCTTGGTTCACAACTCACAATTGGTATTCACATATACTATTTCACTTTCAGAACCACATCAAAACAATGGATGTAATTAAGTGAAATAATGAGGTGAGTATGTGAGCAATTTGAGAACATTAAAAAGCATTACTTAAACATTATGGGAGAATGAGCAAATGATGCATTTCATTTTCCACGGAAATATTTCCCCACTGCCAGAGAGTACGGCATTAAGAACAGAAAGGAATGAAAGACAATTACACAACGAAGTATTTTACATTTTTTAGCCTACCTGGTCTTCATAACATCCAATGGGTGCATCAAGCAAATCTCCACAAGACCTACGGAAGACAGAAATCACAAGTAATTATAACACTGCCCAGCTAAACCGACATAAATCAGTCATTAAAACAGGACACGAGCACAACCGAACATGCTATTATTCGCTCACAGGCCATTAAGCTGTCATTACCAAAGGCCAAGCTTTCTTTCCTTCTCTTCCACTCGCTCTTGTCATATTTCACTGAGCTTTTTAAGAAATATATCAGTATAATCCGATTTCACTCAAGACCGTTGAAGCCTTATTGCATTGTACAGTGATTTTTTAACTGCATAATCATCCCAAACACAGCTTCATTTCAAACACTTCAGGATCCTGCCAAGTGCAAAGTCTCTCGAGACCTAATCCACAAATTTTTCGCCACGTTGAAATGGTGATGTATTATACACCACGATCCATATATTTGTAAATACAAATAAAAAGACAGATGCTAGTGTGATTCCATTCACCGTCTGTCTGGGTGCATGTGTGTGGTTTGCGTGTCTGTATTTGGTAGTCAGAGGGTTTTCCCCTCAAAAATCCCAATGTAACAGTCCCCTGAACTCACATCCGACAGGAGCTGCTTGGCCAGCAGCCACATTCGTCACTCTGATCTTGTTTTTGCCTCCTTGCCACTCCACTGCAACCGACAAGCGTGCGGTAAGGGATCTGGCAACAAAATGGCCTCCATGCAGAGATGTGGGACGTTGCGCTCGTCTGGCCTGCAAGTCATTACCATCATCCATTTTATTTCGGTTCCAATGTGCTGATGGACGTAAAATCCCAAAGTATTTTCGAATCTTATTTTATCTGGACCGGCCCACTGCAAGGCTGCCGTAATGGCCTTCCTACTGCCAGGATTCCAGTTCATATGCGCTCAAGCCATGACAGAAAGGGTGAGGGCTGTTTAACATGCTGAATATAGGTGATTTCACACCACAAAACATGGCGAATAGTTTGTATGTTGTTACCACACGGATTGGGTTCCATTTAACAGAGCCAGTGAAACCTTATCTGTGTTGGGATACAAGTTATGTAGATAGTTACAGTAATCATTTGGTAAACCTATAGATTTTCATTTCAGCAATATACAGTATATGGATTTTGAGAACTACAGAAAGAAAATGTGTGTTTGTATGAATATTTAAATTACATGTAACCACACATGATGAATACTCGTTATAGCTAATTGATTTCACATAGTGGTAACCACAATTGGCCACTATATACTGTAAATGATTGTAGAGGATGTCTTCATTGATCCTTCACTTGATTACATATATGATGGATATTTTGAAATTATAGATTATGTAAATGTTGGGTACTGTAAGTGTATTGCCTAATGTTACAGTAAAACTGTGTAATCTGTCTTTTACAGTATATTACTGTAGCATATTCATTTCAGCACTTCTAAGGCCGATTTGAAACATGTATCTTGCATTGTTTGCTGTTGGATGAACTGATTGTTAAAAGTACTAAACTGAAAGAAGATCATATTGTTGTGTTTCAGTGATTAAACCAAATGTTCTCATTACATATTACAATAATCTTGTGTTTGAAATAATGATTATGTGGACTGAAAACATGTGCAACTGACTGAAAGCATTACTTAAGGTTTTGAAAGAATGACTAGCTGCGTTACAAGTGTGATCAGTTTGGATTTTTGTACTAAGAGTTTTGAAAATGTACACCTTACTTGTGAAAATAGTACCAAAGCGAATAAAAAAAACTGTAACAGCACGATTCAGTATCCGTTTTGCGAACATTAATTTTTTTTATTCAAGGCAGCTGTAAATAAACATAGTGTCTGGAGAGTGCAATTTGTCACAAAACTATAAATTATTGTTGATTTAACATAAAAAAGTTTACCTGGTTGCCTTAAATTTTTGAGCTCATTGACATTAAAAATTTGAGTTAAAGGTACAATATGCAAGATTTTTTCACCACCAGGGGTCACTAACCTCGATAACAAAGGCGTCTATTGATGACGTATAATTATGCATTAAGCGGAATTATGGATCTTGTCGTCAAGCTGATGGATCTTTTATGGATGTGTGAATACAGTGATGTTTTTAAGATGACTGTGGTATGAAGCAGTGCGGCGATTGCTAATGAGAGACAGATATCAGCGCCACGCAACGCGAGTCACCCGGATATTAAGGAATAAGGACATTTCATTCTACTGAACTACATTGGATTAATACTCACGCGGGTCAGTTTATTAGACGAATTAAACTTGAGGTAACGCAGCTCTGTTTTACTTGCTCTGACAGTAACACACTATTTGAGTGTGTTGAATGTTGTTAGTTAGGTTGTTTGTTGGCTGTATGAGACTATAAGCAAGATTAAACATTAGAACGTACAAATCATATTCTAACTTTTCATCATGTTGAACTAAATAACATTGATTAGTTTGCTCACCATGCTCAACATTTGCTCACCTGTTTAATAAAGTAACCTGCAACACTCGCGTCTCTAAGTCGAAGTTAGTCGCGGACGTGGAGCTCTCGGCATCTCGAAAGATGTTGATCTTTGTTTTAGTCCTCTTTTTGTCTCAAAGTCTGCTTGCCATGGTCCATAATGTTTGAACGAAACAACAACAGCGTGAGCGTCCTTCTAGGCATAACACAGTTGTCCACTACTGTCGCCATGGTTACTATGGCAGTACGAGGTCAAACCTGGTGGAAACCGGGGGTAACGCGGATGTGACGTCATTGAATGGCGACTCCTCACCTCTGCTCACACGCCCCATTTCCTTGGTTAAAAATCGCAATTTTCTCAAGATTTACAAATAGTTGAAATCATTTGGGATATTGTGAGTAATCAACGAACAAAATATATTACATTGTCCTATAGTGGTTTTTGGATATTTTTCTGCAAAAATCCTGCATATTGTACCTTAAATACAACGAGGGAGATTGGTTTAATAAATAGATGTTATCTGAACCACATTTACTATCTACGTAAAAATTTGTGATAACAAATCATGAAAATAATTTTTTACACAGTGAACGTGATCTTAAAGGCACTTTTGCGTAATTATGCATCTCGATCGCAATTCTCAGCCCCGTTTGGCCGTTTACTTTAATGGTTTCCCTCACAGATTCCTCTTTGTGTACACAGCTGTTGAGAAATATGGTCCTATTCTAATTTCTTCCATTAAACGTATTGTCCATAATAAACAAGACATTGCCTCCTTGGGGATTTTCCAGGAAAGTAATAATCAAGAGAAATTCCAAAGAGGAATTGCAGTCCACCATACATATGGCTTAGCCAAAGATACATACAAAGGTGATAGAAACAGGCTTGTGTTGTCTTTTTGCATGTTACCTGTCAGGAAACGAGAGAGTCTTTTGAACAGAGTATGTGGCATATTCATAAACAAATCTTAGCAGCAGGACATGCTGAGGTGGTGTGATTCATTTCAGGTCAGATATGAGTTTGTGGAAGATGCATCAGTCAGTCAGATCTCCCTGTCGCCCAAGGCGTTATAACACAATAACGTTTATCATTAATTAATCACGGCTGCCAGGGCATCACAGGGGAAAATAATGTTACGCACTCAGGAGACATATGTTTTCCATTTCAGCACTCTATCCATCCTGAGGAAATAAAAGAGAAGGAGGCCTGGGAGAGTCATCTCAGCCGCGAGACAGCTGGAGGAATAGACACATCTATAGTTGAAGCTGAGGCGGAGCGGTAAAGTCATGTAAAGGGATGTGTCTTTTTAAAATTGCATACCACTTGATAAACATTTTCATTTCAGGGAATTAATTACAGTCATTTTATCAAGTAGAACATGGTCCTGTAACAGCTGTCACAATAACATTCAGGTTCATTTTCATGGACTTTTAATTTGCTCATCATTGTTTCCTTTGTTCTAGTTTCCTGCCAGCCATTAGTTGCCAGAGACATTATTTTAACGAACACACCTGTCTGTACGAACCATGTGTAATTAAGCTCTGCAGTTTTTCAGTTTTGATTAGTTTTGTTGACTTTCTTCTGTGGATTACCAAGTTTTTTTTTGTTTTTTTTAGAATACACACCTTTTGTTATTAGAATCATTTTGGACTCTTTTCATCTTCATTGGATTTTCAACATTGTTATCAAGCTATTTGCCCCAGATTTTAGAGGTAGTTTATTGTTCATAATTGAATTGAGCATGTGTTTCAAATTTCAATTTAATTCCTGATTTTTAAATTAATTTGTGGACATAGAATTAAAAACTGCACTTCAAATTGGAATTTAAGCAGAAAATAAATCAATAATAAAAAAAGAATTGTATTTGTATGAACAAACTTTGAATGCTCGACAAATTTATGTTTGAAAGTAAAAGTTTTTATGCCTAGACAAACAGATCGATCTGTCTGAAATGTAACCAAATGTAAAGGCAATAACATTTCAAATACAGCCAGTAACTGTTGAATTTCTCCTTGAATTTCGCACTTGTGGCATAATATTATGACAAATTATTTTCCATTTGTTCTTCCTTTTCTCTTAAAAAAAGAAAGAAAACAATTATAGTGAGTTACAAAGGGCACAATCCACAAATGTTAGAAGAAACAACTGATTTTAGCCAGGAATTCTGTGTTGACAAATGTTTTTTTTTTCGTTTCAAAACACCTAAATCGACTATAAAAATTACAAAACTGACTTTACATCAAGTTTTAGTAGAATAATTTACGTAGGCCTGTGCATTTATGAAATATTACATTTATATTACATTTATGCTTTTAAATTCTCCAGAAATGTGCACCATTTGTAGCTATTGTAAGTGTAAGCATTTAATTTTTAAGAAAATGAGGGACCAGTCGAAATTATTTTCTGTGATAATCAATATTATGCCACAAGTGCAGTTGACTGAGATTAATACTGAACCCAGAATATTCCATTAATTTATGAATTTTGCTGAACCCTGTAGGGCTGTTTTTTTGATAGGAATGTTCTTTCAGGACCAACAAAATTTTAAGTAAACGTGGAGGAAGCCTGGACCCGTGTGAACCCTGTTGCTGCTCTGGACTG